TGCATACGCCACACTCTCCACCAACTGCAAGGCCAGAAACACGGTGGGAACCGTGTAAACCCTCCCAAAGTGCCATCGTCCAGTGTGTGCAGATTGGTCACAAGGCAATCTGCATGACTGCACTTCTGTCCTATTAACGTGTCCAGGATGAGCAGCGCCGGAGGGGGACGCCGACCGTCGCACACAACGTTGGTGATGTTGTGCATGAGGCACTTCAAGCCATATGGTAGGCAGTGCCGAACATGACACTGCATAGTCGAATTGAAAAGATACACGATGCCGTCGTACTTGCGGAGGATGTAAGGCCGCGAAATCACAGCATTACGCTCCCATTCCTCTATTTGAGTATGAACATCAATGTATATACGAAAGTTAGACATGGTAAGGGTTATTCTACTAATTCCACACAGAAGGGTGCAATCTTCAAACAAAGGTTGTCCATCCTCATCAGTCCAATGCTTCATTGTCTCGAGAAAGGGAAACGTATCGTCCAAATCGGACATGACACCACCAAGCAATAAAAATACTAGGACCATTTTGTCGGGAGGTGGATTTTGGTTCAGACACTTGGCACGGTACTGGTAATCCTCTTGGTAGTATCGTATCGCCTTACAAAGAACCTCTGCCTCTGCCTCTGCCTCTGCCTCGGACTCCGTCCTCACCTCCGATTCACCATCCGCCTCTGCCTTCATCTTCGCAATTGTGGAATACAGCCCACGGTGAAGTGTTTCGTCCACCCACTGCATTTGTCGCACGTAATTGCGTAAAGTGCCTCTAAGAGTGGCAGACTTGAGGACCTGCTTCATGCAGGGTATCGCCTCACAAACACTGACGAGGTCTGTGGCATTGAGGTATGTGCAAATTCTAGCTTGTACGCATTCGGGAAGCCTCTCCATCTCCGACGCGGCAGCTGAATCTTATGAGACTGATTCGCAAATTGTAATGCGCTCGCTTTTGGCGGATTTCATTTCAGCTAAACACAGATTTCAGTTCACCTAAACGCAGATTTCAGTTCAGCTGATCACAGATTTCAGTTGAGTTAAACGCGAAATGGCGCGACTTTAGTATCAAAACTCATGCTGATAAACGCTTTTCTCTGCCTGTACCACTGACCACACCCTGCTTTACGCCTTGTTCCACCAAAACTGTTGTAGGTTTGGAATGGCGGTCAGTGAGTTGGAGTTATGATGGGTTGAGCTCACACAGAATGCAGAATGTAGACGAGCTTACAGCATCCCTCCCGGTGACTGGCAATTGGTGCCTTAACCGCCCGACCTGTGGTCGCTGTTGGTCTGCTTACAGCTCAGGTGAACTCCGCTGACATTTGACCTGATGCTGAGCTCCACTACCAACTGACGATTCACTTAATCCTGTGGCAGCCTCATCGCCAAGCTTCGGCCAAACCCCATG